ATATATATATATATATATATATTGGCCAAGACCCTTCAGTGGAAAAAGAACAAATCTCTTCAACAAATTGTGGTTGAAAAATGTAATATTCACATGCAAAAGGATGAAGTTGGACTTTTTACACTATATACAAAAATGAACTCAGAATGGATCTTAGACTGAAATTTAAGGGCTAAAACTATAAAATGCTTAAAAGAAAGCATAGAGGAGAAAATACATTTTTTGAATTTGATGATCATGTATTAAATATGACACCAAAAGTCCAGGCAACAAAATAATAAATAGATAAATTGAATTTCATTAAACTAAAAACTTATGCATCAGGACAGTATTAATAGAGTGAAAAGACAACCTATAGAATGGGAGAAAATACTTAGAAGTCATATATCTGATAAGAGTATGTTTAAAGAACTTCTACAATTCAACAACAACAATAAAAACAAACAGTCCAATTTTTAAAAGGGCAAAGGAAATGAACAGACATTTGTCCAAAGAAGATTCATGAATGACCAATAAGCACACGAAAAGTTGCTCATCATCTTTAGTCATCAGGAAAGTGCAAAATAAAAACAAGAAACCACATGAGATATCACCTCATACCTACAGTGAGAATTAAAAAAAAAAAAAGGAAAATGATCAATGTTGGAGAGGAAGTGGATGATGCAGGTGCTATGGAAAACAGTTTTCCAGCTCCTATAAAAATTAATGTAAAGTTAGGCTATGACTCAACAATTCTACTCGTAGGTATATACCTAAAAGAATTGAAAACAGGGATTCAAACAGATCTCCTATGCCAATGTTCTAGCAACATTACTTACAACAGCCAAAGATGGAAACAACCTAAGTGTCCATTATGAAATGAATGGATAAGCAAAATGTGTATAAATGCAAGGGATTATTATTCAGCTATAAAAAGAAATCACATACTGATAGATGCTATAACATGGATGAACCTTGAAAACATTATGCTTTTTTTGTCTGGGTTATTTCACAAAAAACACAAATACTGTATGATGCTACTTAAACCAAACATCTAGATTAGGCAGATTTGCAAAGAAGGAGAGTGGAAGAGAGGTTACCAGGAGCTGGGGGGAAGGAAAAATGGGGAATTATTGCTTAATGAGTATTAATGAGTACAGAGTTTCTATATGAGGTGATAAAAGTGTTTTGCAAATAAATAGTGGCGATAGTTGTATAACATTGTGAATGTCAATAATTCTGCTGAATTGTATACTTAAAAATGGTCAATGTAACCTATTTGATGTTATGTATATTTTACTACAATTTTAGAAAAATGTAAAAAAAATATTTTTAAAAATAGCTTTATCAGATTGCTAAAAGGGTCACAGCACAGAAGTAGGTTGAGAGCTCCTGCATAGTGGAGCCTAGCTAGTCACAGTGAGTATCAGAGGTGGGAAGGGGCTCTGTGTTGATGACCAAGAGCATTGGTGCTATGAAGCTGGGTGGGTCTCATTCAGCTGTTATTAGTTGAGTCCACCACAGCTGCCTTACTTTTTGTGAGGAGACTGGTAGTGGTGATTAAATGAACAATGTATTTATTAAACATCATCCATAGATATTGTGGGGACACCCAAAGTATTTATGGGTGTGGTTTGTTCCCATACGTTCACGTGAAGGGAGCTTGGTCCCTGGTGTGGTGGTGCTGGGGAGGTGGTAAAACCTTCAAGGGGTGGGGCCTTCCTTAGACTGTTGGTGCACCATCATCATGAATGGATTAATGCTGACTCGTGGGAATTCTTGCTCTCATGGGTTTAGATTAGTACCATGAAAGCAAGTTGCTACGAACTTTACTTATAGCTGTAAATCTGGCTGCTCCTCTCTGGTTGCATCATTCCTGAATGCATGGGAAAACCACTTCTCTGCCATGTTGTGATGCCATCAAGCAGTCTTTACCAGGACATCTGCATCATGCTGTTTGAACCCTCCAGTTACCAGAATTGGGAACTAAACAAACCTCTTTGTAAGTTTCTCAGCCTCAGGTATTTTGTTATAGTAACAGAAAATGGGTTAAGGCAATGACCCAAAAGTTTACAATCAAGAAAATGCTACAAGTCAAATCACACACACTCATACACACACACACAAAAAAAAAACTGAAGAAAAATTACACAATAAACTGCAGGGTTCTGATCACAGGGATTCAGGAGAAGGAAGAGAGAAGTAGGATGCAAAGGAGTCAGGATAGGTTTCCATCTTGCCCAGCTCGGCCTGAGTAGAACAATTGGACACACATACCTGCATTGAACATTATGTGTGAAGGTGGTGATATTGATGTCCATGGTCCCGGAAGAAGAGACCCTCCTTTTGTGTTCCTGTTGAAAATTCTCCTCATTGTACACTTCTCGCTTAACATCATACAAAAAAGAATTTTGAGAGGAGTACTTATAGCTGTAAATCTGGCTGCTCCTCTCTGGTTGCGTTATTCCTGAATGCATGGAAAAAGAACAAAGAAAAAAATCATTAAAAAAAAATCTAGACCCTCAGCACATGTTTAAGGAAATAAAATTTCCACAGAGATATTTTACACTTGCATAGCAGTTTTACTAAACTCTTTCTCAATGTCATACAGTTTTATACTTGAAACCACCCTATCATGAATGTAAGAGTGTATTATTCTCATTTTCCAAATGGAGAAAACAAAGGCTCATAGGTTTAAACAGTTTGGTCACTTAAGAATTAGAACCAGGACTAGAATCCACATGTCCTGCTGGGAATCATGGTTTCCTTTATATTCAATTGTGTTTCTATGTGGCAGGAAAGTGATTAAGAAGAAAAGTCAGCAGTAATCACCAATATTCACAGAAAATGCTAAGGATTATGTGCTCATGATAATGTCTTCGAATTCTTTCCCTATCTAAAGAGAGTGCTTGACAGTTCCTGCTTGAACATTTGTCTATTTGTTCTTTTGCCTGTTTCCCCCATAAAAGGCTAAGGCCAGGAGGCAGGAGGACTTTGTTAATGATAGTATCCCCAGGACCCAGGACAGTGCCTTACATTTAGCAGGCCCTCAGTGAATATCTCTTGCCTGACTGTCAGCTCTGCAGTTGATAGCATTAAGGTGTGCAGAAAAGGCAGCGCAGAAGATGTCAGGAGACAGAGGTACTAATCCTGGCTTATTTTCTAGCTAGCTGTATAATTGAGGGCAAGTTTCTTAGAAACTGAATTTCAGTTTCCCCATCCAAAAAACAACACGCTAAGGGCAGCACGCTAAGGGCATCTTCACTGTGCTCATCCTCATCATCAGCCCTGGCAGTGTCTGTGGGGAATTTATTACATGCCAGGCATTGCACTGGCACTCTTTTCATGAGTTATTCCATTAAATCCCCACAATAATCTTAATACTAGCCACCCCCTGCCCCCGGGTTTTACAAGGGGTGAAACTGGGGTTTGAGGAAAGCTAAGTAATTGGCCCACAATTGTATATTGCATTTTACCCTCAAATCATTGGTTAGCAGCAGCATGCTGATTAACACCCAGGAACTAAAGATCACAAATTCACTAAAGCAGTGAGAAGGTGGCTGAAGAACGCAGAAGAGGATGAGAGAGGAACTTAACAATGTATCACTTAAGAGAATTAGAATCTCATGATTTTGATAAAAAAAATAAAAAGAGGTAGAACTGTGTGTTAAAATGTAAATAAGGGTTTTCTTTCTTTCTTTCCCCTGCTCACAGGAATATTGGCCCAATCTTTCTTAGTTTCTCCATGTAATTTTCCAAATAAACTTGTTACTATAGTTTACTTGTTCCTGGAAGCCTAAGGAACCTGCTAAGAATATTGAGATTATAAAAATTGCTTTCCTAGGTCAGATCCAAAATCTAGAATTTCATTTTGTTCTGTACGTGGCACCAAGACCCTGTTGGTATGAAACCGGCAATGTATGACATTGGGGCGTGGCAGGGACAGTGGCAACTGGTGAAGGCAGCAGCTGGCTTAGCTCCAGCAATTGTTGTCATGGGTCTTGGTGGGTCCAGTGAGTCCAGAGCTGGTCTTTTCCAGAAGAAGCCATAATTCCAAACTTTTATGTGAAATCATCTGACTTGTAAATGTTATCCATTACTTTACGTGTGTGTGTGTGTGTGTGTGTGTGTGTGTGTGTGTTGCTGGGGATTGAACCCAGGGCTTCGTACATGCTAGGTAAGTGCTCTGTCACTGAGCTACATCCTTCAGTCCTATATTACATATTTTTTTAAAACACAGTGCGCATCTGACAAAGCATCTCGCCAAGCTAGATGTGGTCTGGGGACCAACAGTGTAGAAAAATATTCTCATATCCTTTCATTATAAATTATAGTTTATCTCCCAGGAATTCTTGTAATATCCTTTTGAAGCAGAAATATTTATATTTTCTTATTGTACCCGTTAGATTATGATATCTTATTAATTTGCTATGGAAAGTAGAATTTCATTTTATTGCTTTCAGTGTACATTGTTTATATAACAAGAGGTGGCTCCCATCTATCAAACTAGGATTTGGTGGGCTCATCTGCTTTTATGTTCATAATTTTATAAATTGCTATTATATCCACTCACTGGTTTCAAACTCAAGAATGCTACTTCCCCCATGGTCAAGTAACCTAGTGCTCCACTAACATTTGTTGAATACTAGTGCTTTGGGGATACAAAAGAACAGACTTTAAAGTTAGGAGAATAAAAATACAAAAATATAGTGCTGAGAGAGTTTAGAGGTAGAAAAAATAGAAATTAGCACTTCCTGCTGGCCTGCCCTATACCAATATCTTCCAAAGGGTAGGTGTCTTTTCTTGGTAATAATTATATTTATTTTTCTGATGAGTTTAGTCAGTTCCTTAGAATCACAGAACAATTAAAGAGCAAAACAATAATTTGAGCCCAGTCTTTCTCATTCCAAAATAAATGCCACATCCTAATACCATATAACCTCCTATAGAACGGTATTAAGAATCCCAGCATGGGGGGATGGGTAAGATACTACCTCTCATGGAGGAAATACCTCTTAATTAAGTTCTATCTTAATTGAGAGCAGGGAAGAGGAACAGGTATTTTAGGGAAAGAACAGGTTAAAATTGGAGGCAATAAAAGGCAAGTAATTGAACAGATTGGGTTCAAGTCAGTGTTAAATTTAAGAAAGTATGTTGAAAAATTTTCTCAGAGGATCCTGAATGCTGGGTTGAACCTAGATTTGTTAGCTATTTAAAGTCTTGGAGCAAGAGCAATAATATGCATGGAGATATATACTTGGAGAAGACTGATTGGGTCAGTGACATGGTCTGGAGCTGTGTTGTCCAGCATGCTAGCCACTGCCTATACATGGCTATTTAAATTAAACTTAATTAAAATTTTTTAAAAATCTACTCCTCAGGGGCTGGGATTGTGGCTCAGCGGTAGAGTTCTTGCCTAGCATGGGCAGGGCCCGGGTTCAATCCTCAGCACCACATAAAAAAATAAAGGCACTGTGTTATGTCCATCTACACCTAAAAAATAAACATAAAAAAAAATCAACTCCTCAGTTGCACTAGCAACTTGACAGCCACATGTGCTTGACAGCTGCATGTGGCTAGTGGCTTCCATATTGAATAGTACAGATAAGAAACTATTCATTAAGGGCTGGGGTTGTGGCTCAGTGGTAGAGAGCTTGCCTTGCACACATGAGTCTCTGGGTTCAATCCTCAGCACCATGTAAAAATAAACAAATAAATAAAAAATAAAGATTTTTTTAAAAAGAAACAAAACATATTCATTATTACAGAAAGCACTGTTGGGCAGTGCTGGGGATAGGAGGGCTGAGGCAAAAATACTAATTGGAGATTGGTATTAAATTTTTAAAAATAAGCATTTGTAATTCCCTCAGCAACAATCTTTTGCCTGTAACCACCTAAGTTTTTTGGGGGAATGAACTGGAAATTTAGAAAAGGCATAAGCAAAGAGCTTTCATTACCATTAGTACCCTTCAGTAACTTTGTCTAGTGGCTGGAAATGGATAATTGTTCAAGGTGACAATCAAGCCACTGACCACGGGACAGATAAATACTGGACGATTTCTTTAAGTAGATGCGGTGAGTGTAATATCAGCGGGTGTGGGAGAGAGACTTGCTGAGATGGGGCTGTTGGAGAAAGTTTCATAGAGGGCCACAGATGCATAAACGGGATTTGAGGGTAAGAGAAGGGGCAAGGGGGTGGGGAATTGGGGAACAAAATGAACAAAAGCAGTGAGATCTGAAAGGACGAGGAGAGCCTGGGCTTAAGGCCAGAGGAGATGGATGCGGTAGTCGGTGAAGCGCGGGCAGCGGGCCAGTTCAGTGGCTTTTGACAACAGACAGGCGATTGTGAAAGGACCCGTCTCTTGTCATTGCCATTCCACACGGCGTTTCAAAGGAGAGACAGTACCTGAGCGATAAGCCCCCAGGGGCGACGGTCGTTCATTCATTGCACAAATATTGAGGGCCCGCGACGTGCCTGCTCTGCTTGTGACCGACTCAGCCCTGTCCCTGGGACCCGCGCCGCGGTCTCGTCCTCACAACCTGCAGCCCTCAGCTCCCTGGCTTCTCCAGGCAGCCGTTCACCTGATGCCCCGGAGGGGGCGGAGTGCAGACGCTGGGATCTCACAGGGCTCCGGCCGTTCCCGAGCCGTTGCCCCCGAACCCGCAGGCGTTCCGGACGGGCGGGGGACAAGAGTGGGGCGAGAAAGAGGAGCATGGCAGCTGGTGGAGAGAGGGGTATTTGGATGCTCTCCCCATACCCTGCTCTCCCCGTAGCAGGCCGCAGGAGCCCCTCGGAACCCTCTCTGGCTTGGACCTAGTTCTTTCTAGAAATAGCTAAGAGAACATTATAAGGTACCATACCTTCACCCACTATCATAAACTTATGCCTACATTAAGTTTGTTAACATTGAACATTGTAAATGCTGTACGTTAACATTTTAACAAGCTTAACAGGAAAAGGTTTATAGTAGTGGGTGTAGGTATAGGGTTATAATATCTCGCCTATTCATCTATATCTATATCTATATTTGTCTATCTGACACTAGGGATTGAGCCCAGGAGTGCTAAGCCACCACCCCCCAGACCTTTTTTATGTTTTTTTTTTTTAATTTTGAGACCGGGTCTGGCTAAGTTGCTTAGGGTCTCTCTAAATTGCTGAGGCTGACCTTGAACTTGCGATCCTCTTGCCTCAGCTTCCCCAGCTGCTGGAATTACAAGCATGAGCCACCATGCCGGGCTCACATTTATATTCTTGACAAACGACATTATTAGTTGAAAACGGAGCAGAAATTTCCTTGCAGAAGCTAAAATTAAGGTCTAAGAAAGGCCAACTGGTGTGCCTAAATGTGACACCGCCAGAAGACCACCCCTTCCCCTGTTCTGAGAGGTATGAATTAGATCTTTAAAAATCCCCTTCATTGGACGGCTATTCAGGGCAGAGTCACTTTCAAACCTTCAGAGCAACTCTATTTTAAAATGCATCTAAAAGAGGGTTGGCAGAGATTTTCCTGAATCATAACCACCTGGATGTATATAATAAAAGTGCGTATTCTTGATGCCTACTTCTGACATACCCAGTTAAACTTCCGATGGATCCTGGGAATCTGCTTTTAAAAAACAAACTGTGCATGTAAAAGTTTAAGAACTACTAGGAGAGTTTGGATGGAAAACCTTAACTTTGATGAAGGACTAATAATTGCCTTTTGAACGGATTTCGACAGAGTTCCATATAGTAAGCCATATGTCCTTGAACAGACCGCGATGCAATAGCCTTTCTGGACGAAACCTGCATATTTATGCAAGAATTTCTTAGAAATAGCAGGCTCTGCGCATCAGGTGCTCGTCTGCTGGTGACTACTGCTTTCCGCCACCGAGCCAGGGATTTCCCCGCCGACCACGGTGAGGCGCACGCGGCTTATGTTCCCGGGTCCGCCTTTGGAGCCCCGAAGAACAGTTCCAGGGAGTTCCTGCCTCTGGTCACCAGCTGTTGCTCTCTTATCGCGAGAATTGCTCCTCCTAGTCTTTCCTCCGAGGAACCCCCTCCCATTGGCAGGTTCCATATTGGGTAAAATCTCGGCTCGCGGAGAGTCCCGGGATCTGTTCTCGCGAGAAAACGGCGAGAGGCTCCAGTTCGCTGGCTCTGGAACTGCGACCACTGGAGCCTGAGCGGCCGCTGCAGCTGGAACGGGTGACCAGTCGCGCAACTCGCCGTCGGCCTAGTCCGGGAGCTGGTGCAGCGAGACTGCAACAGGCGCAGCTTTGAGCCTCAGAGCGTGCTCCTGCCCTTAGTTGGGCTTGCCTGGGTATCTGAGGCGCATCCAGCCGCTGCAGCTGACAGGGGCCGCGCGCGGGCGCGCGGGAGTCTGCGGGGTCTCGAGCCACACCTGCGCGGGCGGCCAGCGCCGGGTCCCCGCCCGCTCGGGCGGGCAACGAGGGCCGGGGAGAGGGTGCGGGTGCAGGCGGGGGCCCAGCAGGGCCACCTCCTCACCCCGCGGCCGCCGCTGGAAAATGTCTCAAGAGAGGCCCACGTTCTATCGGCAGGAGCTGAACAAGACAATCTGGGAGGTGCCTGAGCGTTATCAGAACCTGTCCCCGGTGGGCTCCGGTGCCTATGGCTCCGTGTGGTGAGTGTCGCTGGGCTTGGGGCCGAGGAGAACCGGGTGGTCTCTCATGCCCGAGGGCCAGGCCTGTCCCCATGGCTCAGCGTGCGCCAAGCGGCAGGAATTTTCCTGGGGGGAGGGCATTGCTGCTCCTGGAGTCCTGTCTGTCCTGCACCCCTCACCCTGCACACGCAGGTAGGGGGTTAGCCGCGTGTGCAGGACGCAGGTCCCCTGTGGGCGGTGGTGGTGCTGCTGGAACTCGGCCCTGGCTCACACCCTGTGCATTCTCTTCTCGGGGGGTTGCAACTCCCAGGGCTGGCACCTGGGGAAGGCCTATTCTCCCCGGGGGTTCTCCTGCCAGGGTCGAGCTGAAGGACCCTGTCCCGGGTTGTGCCCACCTGGGGCGTCAGAGCCTGTCCCCGGAGCAGACGGACCTAGCGAGCTGCCTGGAGACGCCAAAGAGCAAAGCCCGACCCGGGGACTGCGGTCATTTGAACAAAACTGGCGAGGAAAGGCTCTCTGGGCTTTTCTGTAAGCCTCTGTCGAAATCCCGTTTTGAGTAGCGTCGTTTTTGAATTCGCACTTGCATTAGCAGCTACCCATAGAGCTTAAAATACCGACTTTATCTCGCTGAGCGCTGTGCCAGCTTGAGTGGTGTGTTTCCGATTCAGTTGAAAGCGTATTTCCTTTTCGTGGAGGGGGTGGAAGTGCCTGCAAGAACACTGCAGCTTGAGAAACCGGCAGCCTCTGATTAGTCACATACCACTGCTCATTTAAGTATTGTTTGACAAAACAATTTTCTCATGTGGAGCAGGAGAGATTCAGATCCGTTGGGCGCCCTCAAGATCAAAAAGTTGTTAACAGTGAAGGGAGGTATTGTAAATATTTTTTAATTGAGATAATCTCTGTGAATACTGTGTTTTTAATGTCCCTTAGAGAGTTTGCAGGGAACTTTTATCTACACTTAGACAGCCTGAGGTATACGATGGTTTTCATGAGGATCTGGAACATATAGCAAAGGACGAGAGATTTTCCAGCTTTAATTTACACCATGAGTGTGTTTTCAATTAAATCCATACTATAAAATTTCCTGTCTTAAAATATTTTACTAACTTCTCTCCAACTTCTAAGGCTTTATACTCGTATTTTAGATTTACTATAATTTGAAAGGTCCTGGTCTGAAATTAAGTATCAAATTTAATTTTCTATGTTTAGTAATAAGTTAGTAATTAGCCTTTTTATGTCTTAGTAATACATGTGCATGTATTATTTGAAAAGGAGCCTGTGAAATGTTTTTGGTTTTTTTTTTGGAATAAATTCCAGGCTCTGGATGTGTTAATCTTTGATTCTGTGTTTCTCAAAGTCACATCAAGAATTTCCTGTTTGGTAGAATCTTCTGGGTAATTGAGATTGTGCAATTGTGTTCAGCAACAGATCATATTGCACTTTCAAGTTCAAGCTGCTTAAATTATGTTGCAGATGGCACTAGGCTTGACATCTCTCACTTATTTGCGCAACATGACAGTTTACATTTTAAAGGAATTTGCAGCATTTTGCTTTTCATATATTTATTTGATGTTGCTAATTTTCAAAGGTGTATTTGGGTGTTCCTCCTTTAATATTTAATAACTCATTAGTGCCCCTCCATTTTTTTTCTTGAATTGATACGTTAATTCTTACAGTATCAGGTTTTTGTTTCCAATGATGTTTGAACTTTAATGGAGGGATACAGCCAAGTAATTCAACTGTAGAGAGTTCAGATGAATTTTAATAGAATTCTTTGCAGGGTTTCCTACTATTAGTGTGAGTTGTTCTGCACTGGAATAATAATAGATGGTCCGGATTCACAGTAAAATGCCATTAAGATGAACTCCTTCAGTATGTCTTTAATACTATCTTTTTATGTGGGTACAGAAGCCAGCAGCATCTAACAAATTGAAAGTACTTTTGTTAAATGGAGTTTTAATAATAGGTGTTTACATGTTCACTTTGTATAGAATTCTCAAAGATATTTGGTGAAAATCTGTTCTCCAGCTGCACTGTTCCTTTCCTCAGAGACAACCACTATTATGTTTCTTAAGTGTGTCTTTCTAGGGAGGCAGAGTTTTGTTTTTTTCGTTTGTTTGTTTGTTTGCTTCTTGTTGCTCTAGTATTAGTATTTCTTCTAAAGAGATTTAAGGTGTAACCAATAATATTTTCTCATTGGAGGAAAAGACAATTGAAATTATATATGGCAATTGATTGTAAACAGTATAAATTGATTTCAGAGTGGAAATACCATAATTTAGATTTACAAGTGCCTCTCAGAGTACTGTGGCTATTTGAAGTTTTTCTGTCACTTTGCAACTTTTCAGACATGATTGGAAAACATTTTTTGAAACTTCTTTTTGAATCCAATTTGGAGTTTGTGTTGATTTTCTCTTTCCTCATCCTTTGAGAGCAGATATTTGAACATAGAGAATAAATAAATAAATAAATAAATAAGTCAAATTGAATCCAAATAATCTATGGAATTTGGATCTGTACCTGATAAAAAAGTTTAGGCAGTCAAGTTGGTGATACTGTTTTAGATGATATAGGAGTTATAATTGCAATGACACATTTTTTTTATGTGTGTGTGTGTGTGTGTGTGTGTGTGTGACGTGTTGATCTGGACCTAAGGTCCAGAATCTCTGAATTTTATTTTAAGGAATGCAACATCATTGAAATATGTGTCAGTTTCTCAAGTTTATTGCTCTGAAGTATAGTGAAATTTGATATATAACTTTAATATATTAAAAAACTTAAGCTTATTTTAATTTAATTTGTACCAAATATATAGTGAAAAGAAATAAGCCTGTGTGACAACCAACTATGATTCAAAGATCAAGGAGTTGACCAGAAAGTTGAGACTTGATAGGGTTTTGTAAATATCTTTCTAAAAGGTAAAGGGAACTAAACTAAGTCTTGCAGTTTTAAGGAACTTTGTACATTGTCTGTGAGGGGAAATGATGCAAAACTGTTTAAGGATACATAGTTGCAAAGCATTGATTTTGTGGTTTTGGGACAGAAGGGGAGAGAATCTTTGTGGTGAGTTTAAGGAAATATAAACAGGAACTTAAGTGCCTTTCCTCTGGGGTATGGTTTTTCCGTACCCTTGCTGTTGATGAAAGATGGGGCTCTGGTAATCATAAAATAGGTGAGAATTGGAAATTACTCTTGAATCATATTCTACCATTTATTCAGCAGTATTTATTGAATACCAACTGTAAGCCAAATAGTGCACTGGATTCTTGAGAAAGACTGAACAACACAGAACAGGAGAGTCCATTTCTTCATGCAATTTGTAGCCTACTGGGTTTAATGAGTACATTCTTTGGGTTGCTTATTATGTTCTAGGTGTTGTGCTGGGTATTTTGTATTTGTCATCAGCATATAAAGTGAATAATAAAACTTGTAGTAAGAGGATGGCAAAATTTGCTAAGAAATCAAACTCCTCAAGTGCTTTGTGGAATAAGATTCTTCCAATAAATATAATAAAAATAACTGAATGGTTATTTATTATTTTTAGTGAATTTTATAAGCTATTTTACTTAACCATGTAAAGTTACACAACAAAATTTACCACACTTTAGAACAATAAAATTCAGAATAAATAAAATAAAACTATATCATTATTAGGTATGCAGAGATGACTCCTGATCAGTGAGAAGGGTTTGCCCTTCACTTTCCTAGTGGTGATAATAAATCCAACGGATCTTTCTTCCATTTACTTTTCTTTGTAAGCAAAAGCAAAGTAGTCGGCTGAATATTACTGATGCAAATCAACAAAAAACATTTAAGTATAATTAATGACAAATATTTGTATTATTGCTACAGAAAAACTTTCAAGAAGTTCAGTCAAGTTGGCTGTATAATCATTTTATTCATTGAATCAATTTTTCCACTGGCTCCCATTTAAAATAAAGAGTATCCTGGACTGGCTTTTCAATTCTGCCAGTTTAATTTTTTTTAATAACTTTATTGTATTTATTTATTTTTTTATGTAGTTCTGAGTATCAAACCCAGTGCCTCACACGTGCTAGGCAAGCACTGTACCACTGAGCTACAACACTAGCCCCCAGTTTAATTTTTTGATATTATGGTGTGCTGTGCTTTTGATTTCCTTTTAGCTCAGCTTTGGAGATGATCTGTGTTGACTTTGCCTTTCACCTGCAACTGTGCAGATGGTGCTGAGCCCTTGGAGCTCAGGATTCAAAGGTAGAATTCATTTGGCACTCTCACTTTAATATTAACTGACATTTTTATGGGCTTTTGCAGTTTATAAAGTGTTTTCTTTCAAAGCATTATCAATCAGTCCTCCCTAGTTCCATGAAGTCCAGTGTGTGTGTGTATGTATGTGTGTGTTGGTACTGCGGATTGAACCCAGGACCTTGTACATTCTACGTACCACTCTACCAACGAGCTACACTGGCAGCCTCAATGTATTATTGACTCAGTTTTATAAATAAGGAGCCAGATTCATTATTATTTTTTTTAAAAAAAGAGAATTTTTAATATTTATTTTTTAGTTTTCTGCAGACACAACATCTTTGTTTGTATGTGGTGCTGAGGATCGAACCCAGGCCGCATGCATGCCAGGCGAGTGTGCTACCGCTTGAGCCACATCCCCAGTCCCAGATTCTTTCTTTAAAGGAATGGCATACTTGTTAGTGCTTCTTTGGCTTTGGGCCTGGGTTTTCTGCACTTTAGTGGTCTCCTTTCCTGTAGCTGTGGATTTCTGAGGTTGTGTGGTGTCACCTCCTTTTGTGCAGTTTTCCTCCTCTCATGAAGAGGAGGCTTGCTGAGTCACTTGCAATAGAGCTGTGACTGTAGGAAAGCAGTCCCACCAGTGTCATGTCCAGCTAATTTGAGGGTAATTAATTAATGTGAAAGTCATGTCTCTTCCTCAGAATTGATAAACCAAAAATGAACTCATTGTTTAAATTTTTTTCGGAATGAATTTTTAGATCATGCAAATAGTTAATTCTGAATTTATGAATCTT